TTGCCTCAGTCAAACTGAGACCAGTTAAAGACCTTAGCTTAAAAAGGCCAAGGTCTCCCACAACATGTGGGGCCACCTCCAGTCATCCTGATCTGTATCTTGCCACTGGACCCAGATGGCTCTGGAGGAGAAAGTGAGGTTGGTGACTTTGCATAAACCTCTCTCACTTAAATCCAATTCACTTGCAAGTCATGGCATCACCTTCTTGATGTCATGGTCCTCTTCAAGAACCGAAAGCAAAGGACAAACAACAACTGGTATGAGCTAGGTCAATGGCATCTCAGGGTTTTGTTTGACTTTAGTCTCCTATCACAGGGAAAGGAAGTATATTCTGTACAGTCCTAGCATAGAATCCTGTCTTCCTCTTTAAGAGCTGTCACTCCTGCCCCCAACAATAGCATGTTCCACAATTTCCTGCCCAACTAATTATAGCCCAAAGCTATAATTTGGTCCACATTATTGGCCAAAGAGGAATTTTTGATTAGAAACTCAACTAGATATTCAGTTCCCAAGATGGTGGATTTTGCTGGTCACATAAAACTTGCCTATTCCCTGAATGCCTCAGAAAATCAAGCCAGTGTTTGTTTCTAAAGGAACCTGCCAAATGTGCATCTCTTTATGTCAGTGAGAGAACTTGAAAGTCCAGTGGGTTTAGTCGGTATTAATAAGTTCAGTATACACCGTGTCTGAATGTTCATGTTGATTTCCTTCTTTAAGGTTCTGAAACCAAAAAATCTTCAAGGACTTTGGAAGAAGATCTCCCCACAAAGTCGTTTCTTTTTTGTCTTGATTTTCACTCACAATATTTTGAGACTAGTTATTAATGAACCATCAGCCTTCCGATATTCAGGATACAGTGGCTGTAGTATTGGCTCTGGCATCAAAGGACCTGGGTTCAAATTCTACTTCTGACATATTTAGTGGGGTCTTTGGTGAGTCATAACTTCCCTGGGCCTCAGTTTCCTCATTTGTAAAATGAGGGATTTGACTGGAAGCTCTCTAAAGCCTCTGACCCCATAAGAACTAAAGGTGGAGAACAGACATATTCTCTACCATTAACTTTCATGCAAATTTCTCAACCAGTCCCTCAAAGTAAATTTAATACTGATACAGTTTATTTGAAATGCATAAAACTATCACAGTAAGCTTCACCCACTTCCTGCTTTTACACAGTTGCAGAACACGAGGCATTTCCACTTATTTTGTAATCTGAAGTTCTAGATGAGCAACACAGAAAATTCAATTCAGAGAACAACTAATAAGTGCCTACTATGTTCCAGCCACTGTGCCAAGCACCAAGAGCAGAGATAAAAACCCGAAAAGTCCCTGACCTCAAGAACTTGTATTCGACTAGAAGAATGGAACACATCCATACATAAATATAACACAAAACAGATATGTGAAGGGTGGCAATTGGCAATGAGGAGGATGGAGAAAGAGAATTGGGCCTGAGAAAACTTCAAGAAGGAAGAGAAACCCCTGAAAGGAACCTTAGGAGGTGTTTGCTAGAATGAAGAATCTGAATTTTTGCCCCAGAGTCAAAGCGCGACAAATGAAGGATTTTTAAACAAAGGGATGACATGACAAATCTCAGCTTCCCTCAAGTTGACTGAAAAAGGTATTAGGTAGAAATTACTAGACAGGATAAAAATATAATTTTTTCTACAGACACTGCTAACCCTGGCGCAAAGAATAAATTATATAGAAAGGCTCTTAAAAACCATTCTCAGATTTTAGTTCACTCTGACATAGAGGAAAAGTGAGGTCCCCTGAGACCAAGATATCTTTCCTAAAGTCAGCTGAGCCTCAGTTTACTCATCTTGCAAAATGAAGAGGCAGAAGAGGCAACATGGCACGCTGCATAAAATGATGGATTCAAATCCAGAGGACATTAGTTTGAATCCCAGCAATGCTTAAACTTCACTAAGACTTTTGGGACACCCTAAAGAGGGAGCTTCATGTGAAAAATCTCCGGGAGGTTTTAGTGGATATCACAAACTCTTTAGATGACTCAGTGGATAGAATGCCTGGCCTGGAGTCAGAAGACTCCTTTTAATGAGTTCAAATTTAACCTCAGGCATTAGCTTTGCGACCCTGGGCAAGTCACTCAACCTCATTTGCCTCAGTTTTCTCATCTGTAAAATGAGTGGAGAAGGAAACGGCAAACCACTCCAGTATCTCTGCCAAGAAAACCCCAAATGGGGTGATGAAAGAGTCAGACACGACTGGAAATAACAGAACTTTGAACAAACTCCTTTGAGTGAGCAATGTGTTCAACAGTCAAGGAAGCTAACACAAGGCACTAAGATAGGCAGAGCTGCCAGGGATAATCTGAGACTCCAACAGAATTCCTTGTGGGCAGGCTGCTCTGGAGTATTATGGTCATTTTGGATGATACATTTCAGAAAGGAAATTAATAAACTGGAGTGTCCCGGAGGGCAATGAGGATGGTGAAGAGTTTCAAGTTGAGGCCATAGGAACACTGGGATCAGGAATGCTTGGGGAGACAAATGGGCATGGTCAGGGAAAAGGCACATCTAAAAAGCTATCAAGGGGTCAGGGGATTCATAAGTTTAGGGTTGGCTCCTGGGGGGCAGAATTAGGAACAAAGGGTGAAATTGCAAAAAGGTAATTTGAGACTTCCCAGAAGGTAAACTGTCCCAACAATTAGAGATATCTGAAAGTGGAATGGCCTGGCTCAGGAAGGAGTAGAATCTGGCTTAGTGGAGGAGATCTTCCAGCAAACTCTAGATGACCAAGTAATGATCATGCTGTAGGCAGAATTCTTTTTAAGGTACAAGTTCAACCACATGGCAGAAGAGGTTCCTTCCAACTCTGAAATTCTATGATTCCTCAATATCTGACTTTACCCACCACCCTCTAGGAAAGTATACACCTGAAGCCCAATCAGAAGTCATGCTATCTCCAATAATGCCCTAGTTGAAAGCACTCTGCTCTCTTTTCAAATTATCTGATATTTACTTTTCTTTACCCCTTAATTTTTTCTTTATATCATCACATCAAAGTCATCTTATATCCACATATACTACTTTTACTTGCCTTAATAAAGATACAGTTCTCAAGAGTTACAAGTATCATCTTACCCTGAAGGGATGTAAACAATTTAACCTTATTGAATAACATGATTTTTTTTTCTTTCCTGTTCCTTTTTCTGCTTCTCTTGAGTCTTGTATTTGAAGAACCAATTTTCTCTTCAGCTCTGGTCTTTTCATCAGGAAAGTTTGAAAGTCTGCTAATTTCACTGAATGTCCATCTTTTCTCCTGAAAAACTATGCTTAATTTTGCTAGGTAGTTGATTCTTGGTTGTAACACTAACTCCTCTGACTTCCTGAATATCATATTCTAGGATCTTCTTGTGCTGGGGGATGGGGATCTGGTCACTGGCTTTATACACTAAGGCCTCAGGTTCAGGTGGTTTGCTTACTGCACTGGACTGTTGCCTGGGTTCTGAGGCTGGCAATTTGCTTTCTGTGCTGGGGCTAGAGGCCTCACAGCTGGCCTGCTGTGCCACTGGCCTGCTGAGCCAGGAACAAGAGGCCTTGGTTGCTGATCCGTGCTGTGGCTAAAAGCCTGCTGCTGGCTCCCAGATACTGGCTGTGCTGGGCTGCATTCCCCTTTTACCCAAGTGAGACAGACCATTCCTAAAATCCTTTTAAGTTATCTCAAATTGGAAAATTGTTTCACTCCATCTTTTCGTGGGTTCTGCCTCTCCACAATCTGTTTGGAAGCTTGACTGAATGTTTTTTCTAAGGGAAACTGGGGAGAGCTCAGGCAACTTTCGAGCTTCTCTCCACCATCTTGGCTTTGCCACGGATATTTACTTTTCTACATATATGCTGTACTTCCTTAGTAGAATGTAAGCTCCCTCAGGTGAGGAATTCTTTTATCCTGTCTTTATATCTGCTAAGTCACATGATTAACAACTGCTTACTTAATTGGCCCTCAAACTCAAGCACACAAGTAGATCCATCACATATACACAACTTTTATCTCCAAATCCAGCTTGACAGAGGCTAACAGCCAAGTCTGACCTGTCCCTGGTGAGGGGGTGGGGTTCCAATAGAAAGTCATTTTTCTACAGTTATTGGTGCTTTAAATACACAACAGCCCAGACAGACTCCTTGCACCTGTTCCTGTAAGTGCAGAGACCAATAGGCTTTTCCCCATCTTGGGTCTGAGGTCAAGCTAGATCAAAGTGCCCCCCTTCTCCATCCTCCTCCATGCTACCAGCACCATACTATTCCCATAGTTGTAAGTGCCCAGAAAAGAATGATAGTCCAAGCTGGACCTAAAGGAGGATGACCCTGGGCAAAACACCTGGTAAGTGGTCATTAAATCTTTGCTGAAAGACTTCGAGGGTAACTATCTCCTTAAGTAGCTCGTTCCACTCAATTCTGGCTCTGATTATTTGGATGCTTTCCTATACAATAAGGTTAACCTAACTCTGGCCCTGTGGGGCACCCATCCACCACCCAGGCCTGCCTCCTGGGGCAAGGGAAACCAGACTAATCCCT